GAAGTAGGCGAGATAATGATATGCCGTAAGTATGTACAAAAGGAAGGAATGAAATTTAATGTGAATATCAGATACAAAATCCTTCACCATATAGACAAATACGTAATCCAAGACATCAAGGAAAAAACGAAACACCTACCTCCATAAAGTCTGGCCGACGAGTTTGCAAAACCAAAAGGGAAACGTTGAAGCCACGTCGGTCAACTTCCCAGAGCTTGAACTACGACTCCCATCCAAGAAAGAACACCAAAAATCCGCGCGGGTCAACTGGCGAGCCCGCTGCCAGGACGAAGCCACGTTATGGGGCTGTCGGGCGACCCCATTTCCAGGCCCGCAAAACACAAGCAATTCTGGCTTCGCCAGGTCGGCTCCACAGAAGGTATTGCAAATCCGCTTCTTGGTCAGATTACGTTTCGTTGCGAAGAAGCCCCTTGGCTCTTCAAGGAAGGTCTTGGAGCTCCTAGGCCAGTGCCTCTGCTGAACTGCTTCCTCGGTGGAGCGCTTCATCTGCTGGAGAGGGATTTTTCCGAGGTGTTTTTTCATGTCCTGGCTCTTTCAGTCTGCTTCGCTGGTGGAATAAACAACAAGTCGGCGGATGCCATTTCTGCCAGACTTCTCACAACAAAAGTCTCTGTGATGTCTGTGCTGATGGAATGCTCACCGCTGCGACTTGGCCGGAGTCAGATGTCTCTTCAACTGGAAGCCGCGTGATGCGAATTAGGAAGCGGATAGGATCACGAAGAATGATTTCTCAGATCGGACAGCATGCATGAACTGTGCGATGTGTGGTGTAATTCTTCTTCGTCCATGGCCAGACAAGGCCAGAGGCTGTCCACAGCAATCCATCAGGAGCATGCGATCCAAAAATGTCGTTGGGCGTTCTTGCTGTCCATCCCCACATCCTGAACCCCAAACTCTTGAATCTCTGAACTTTTAGCCCTTTGGGCTTTTGGAATGTTCAACTACGCCTCCAGAGAACAATCGAGAGATCTGCTGTGCTGAATCCAGGCTGCGTGAATCTTCTAAAACATACCGGAAACAGAAAACAAGTTCCGTTTGAGATAGGCGCCCAGCACAACAGCTCTCTTTTTCATCAGGATCTGTGGGCTGTGCGGCTTGCCGGAGGGGCACAGGGAGAAGTACAGCTTCTGGTGCGTCAACATGCGAGCACCCAGAAGACAGTTTTGGGTGCGATTCGATCGCAAACTCCTTGTAAACGAGCATGGGGACGATCCTCAGCCAAGTAGTGGGGAAGCTTTTGGGCAGGGGCCCGATCTGCGACGAGCACGCAGGGCGTCGTGGACCCGCGAATCGACAGTGCTCCGAAGTACGGAATTTTTACCCTTTGTTTCGAACTTTGGGCCTGCAGCTAGCACAGAGTGGAGTGCTGGAACACTCTCCCCAGAGAGAGTTGCTGCTTATGTGTGTTTCAATAAGCCTCGAATCCATCCTCTAGACACACGTTCACACGAAAAAATTTTCATCCTTTGGCAGTAAAAAAGACACACAGAGACACAGATACACACCCAGGTACCGCCTTGCAGGCGTGTTGATGTCAGAGAGGTTCCTTCGAGAAAGTTGAAGTCATTGAAATGAAGGCTCAGAGTCAGAGTTTTTTGGTGAGTCCAAGCCGAAAATCTGAATCCATGAAGGCCACGCACGTGCCTCCCTGCATGTCGTCCTCCGCGCTCTGGCCTAAACGCAAGACTTCGTGATTTGGCTGGCATGTCAATGCTATCGTTCCTTGCATTACTTTCTGAAAGGTACGTTCTTGTTTGGTTGTTACCGGTTTTTTTTTTCACTCCATCTCAACCCCGAATGGACCTGTGCATCCATGAACCCTTCGCTCCATCTCTCAACCCAAAGTTTGCAGCAGATGTATTCCTCCTTCTCACCGTCTTTGGGCCTCCGATGCTCCGGACACTGCTTGGAGTGCCGTTTCTGCTTACGGGGATGCTGGCGAGTGGCAGAGGCAAGAAGGTTTTGACTTTCGTGGGATTCTACTTCTAGTCTCAAGGTATTTGAACAAATCAGAAAAGTAACTGCAGGTGGAATGTTTTCCGGGGGGTTTCAGGGTGTTTGGCAGTCCGGGCTGATTCAGAGGATGGAGATTCAGCATGCGAGAGATTTACAGCATGATCCTCGACAACGTTGTTCGGCTCGGCAGCTCATTCATGTCAGAGAAGGCAGAGACACATGTAAACGTCACAGCATGTTGCTGAAACTCGATGTCAATCAGGACGCGGTTGGCTTTGGTGGCGCAGCCTCGAAGCACTTCCCGAACCCTTGTTCTTCTACATGTTCTACGGTGCACATTCGGCTTTATTCCGTGACCACCGAATATCCCATTCCTTCACTCACGGGCCTGAAGTCTTCTAAACACCTCGCTCTTGAGCATAACCACTCATGCATTGCAGGGCTTTGGTGCTCTTCAAGACTGCGCGGCACGTGGACGCGGGGGATGCTGGTTTCTTTGCGTTTGCAATAGGTGCCTGTCAGGCACGGGGGGGCTTCGGGATGTCGTGGGCCAAAAGTTGACAGCCTCAGTTAGTACGAATTCGAAGGATATCTATTCGCGCCATTGCTGCTCTCAGAGCCAGGCTAGGCCAGGCCTTGAAACTGTTTGGCTCCCCAGCTGGTCAGATCGGAGCTCAGTGGCAGCTTGCGCTGCACTTCTTGGGAGAGATGCGGCTGGCAGGCCATGCAGATGGCTTTTACTAAAAGTAGATCAAAAAAGGCTCAGGTTGGTTCTGCATTGACACGTGTCCACAATCGCAGCCGCAGTGGCCAATCAGGTTTGCTACTAGGAACAAGTTTCTGGATCTGGTATGTAACAGTGCTGTAGGATAATATGCTCATGGCTGTCATACTTGTGGCATCAGTCATGGTACCTATACAAGCAAGACCCTCCGTCGTGACTGTAGTGACGATATTAAGCTTCTCAACCAGAACAGCGCAAGGTCAGATTCGACAGCCTCTGGCAAGGTGTTTCAAACCAACCGGACCTGAGAAAGCGGACCAAAGACGTCCAAGTGCTTCGGCTTGTCAGGATGTGGAGGTTTCTTCAAGTTACGGAGTCAGACAAGAGCCTTTGCCATAAGGATCCTCCCCTCGGAGGTCTCTTATGCTCGGAAGCTCCATGCCTTGTGGTCTGCTGGAGGGAGGGAACTCATGCAACCCTTGGCGATCTACAGATCCCGAAAGCCCTGAATTCTAGGCCGGGACCTGCCACCCAACACAGCCCGAAACCCCAAAACCATTTCCCGGCTGCTGGGAAGTCTAGCGAATCCCGCATCTGGAACAACACGCTTGGAACGTATACCGCAGAGGGGCTCCGGTATCTTTTCCTTTGTTGGTTTGCCACTGCCTGTCCAGAATGAGCCCCATTTTCAGATGATACCACCGCGGGTTCTACACGGGTTTTAGCATAGTACCGCATCATGTGGAAGAGATGCCAGATAAGAGTTGAAGCAGAAGTCATATACAGGTCAGTGACCGGCTGGTGGCTTTCGGCGCCGCCATGAGTGCTGCGGAACGGGGCAACTGGCACCATGGCGCGAGATTGGCCACAGCCCAGCAGAATGGGGAGGCTATATGCCGTTCCTCCTCTCTCTCAGTCTCTACGGAAGTTTTTAGGAAAGCAGCGAAGACTGAAACGCAGCCACGTGGATGTGGGTAGCGCCAAACGTGGAACCCAAGGTTTTGGGCTCTACGCCTGGCTGAAGACCTGAGTCGGGAGGTCGGGTTATGTCGTGTTTCATGTTGAGTGGCGGGACCTTCGCACGTGGGATTTGGAGTGTGGCAGATGAGGATGCTGGGCTTTGAATGCTCGCACTTGAGCCTGAGGTTCTTGTAACAGTCTTTCGAAGCTTCTTCGAGATGAGTACCGAGTGTGCATTTCAGCAGTCCTGTTTATGCCACCCACATGAGCCAATCAGCTAACCCAAGTACGTGTAAATACGCACATGTTGAACAAAGGTGAGACGAAATATGCAATTCTACATGCATGAGCTGATGATGGTATGTTCATCCCTCAGGGCCTGCGTCAGAACATCATCACGCGGAGCGTAGAAGTCAGCGCCTGGGGCCGTGGGTATCGCTGGCAGCAGGTGGGGCTGTCCGTGTGCAGCATATATCTGCTGCGAGTGTTCGTCTGAGCGAAGTCCTGAGCTCGAAACTGTCGCAAGTTGCTCGCAGGCTCTGGCCTTGCTGCATAGCATCGGACGCGAGTCCGTGCAGGCCGTTGCATTTGCTTCGCCTGCGGCGTGCGTCTGCGGCGTCTGCTGTTGCCAGGATTAGTGCCCAGCTGCCCTCATTCCCGCAAGCCGCAAAGCCGGGAAGCTATTGATATCTGCAAGTCCCGCCGCCGGAGGCCAACGTTGTCACCTTCACTGCCAGCAGCGCAGCAGCCCAGAAGGTAGGGTCCAGCCTTCTGCTGCACGCTCGGTCTCTTCTCACTCTACGCGCACGTGGAGGCGCAGCGCTGGCGGACGGCTGCAGAGCTGCTGTGTGTCATGGGCTCTAGAGTTGCATGGGATCGTAATCGTCTCTGCGTGCTCATTCCCTTAGCCTGCCTCCATGTGCAACCGAGGCTGTCAGAGCGTCCAGCCCAACGTGCAGGCATCCCAGGGTGATCAGACTTCAGTTGCTTTACACGTTGATTACGTAGCAGGCTGGAAAGGCCAAAATGCAGGCCAGACATGAAACTACGTACTTACGACATGGCAGTCTGAAAGATCGGTGCTAGCTCTGGATTCGGAAATCCCAGCTGAATCGAAAGATGGCAACTCGAAAGAACCCTTTGCTTATCCCAGAGTTGCATCAAGTGAGCCATAGTTTCCAGAGTTTTCTGGCGTTGCCCCTGAGGTTGCAAGTTCGCAATGAGGAGGAAGCGAGTACATGACACACTTGAGGGTTTATCGCACGACCTCGCGGCTGCAGCTCAAGATCCTGGACTGACGGTAGGTTCCCAGTGATGTTTCGATGCCACGCCTGAAGCGATGGCCAAGCCATCTTCTCTTTGGGAAGGCGATGGGAAAACAAAGCCTTACCTTGACGAGGTCAAGCCCGACTCCAAGGAATGGAAGGGTATCGAGGACCACTTATGGCACTTGGGTGGCTCAGAGGTGCAAGGCTTAGAGATTCTGAAGATCGAGCGGAACGAAAACTGGCACCTCTTCTCTCAATACCGCAGCTACCGCAATGGGCTTGATGACGAGGGGAATGAGAAGTACTTGTTCCACGGCAGCCCATCTGCCACCCATGAGATCATGGATGAAGGGAAAGGTCTCGATACTGCATATGCAAGCCAGGCCGGTGGGCCCATGATCGGACCCCTAAACAGTCTTGAAATATCTTGAAGCCCTTGACGCCCTGAAGTCCAAAGTTACCGCTTGACTTTCGATGTGTTTTTGATTGGTTAGTCCTTTGTGGATAGTGGTGCCATGAGTAGAAGTGCTATGAGTGAAGAATGACAGGCACTCCTGTGATCCGACCCCCTTCGCTCTTCCATTGTAATGGTTTGTGGTTGCCCTTTTGATCTTTTTTTGTGTTGGTATGATAGCGATCCTTTCTCATGACTGTCGGGGTTTGGCCAGGAGTTCAACGTGTACGGTGTGGGCAACTACTTCGCCCCCGACCTGCGGCTCTCGCTGTCTTTCATCCGGGCCCAACCTGGGCAAGCCCGGGAAATTCTTTTGTGCCGAGTGGCTTGTGGAAGAGTTGGAGAGCGAGACCGGGTGGCCCCACAGGGTGCTTCACGGCAACAGTGGAGAGGTGCCTTGATACTGACGCAAAACGAGCTCGCCCCAGAGGGTTGCCAGTCGGCCACTTCAAGACACCGGAAAGAGCTGGTGGTCTACAAGCAGAATCATGCCTATCCAGCATACAGGATCACCCTCCGCTACACAGATGATCCGCGCGATCCATACGAGTCTCCATCATTATTCAACGAGCTACGAGTGCTTGAAGACGTGCCGTACCCCAAGCTATCAAGATCCCGGCGGCACTCGAGAAGATACTCGGGCTACCCAGCGCAAAGCAGCTCAAGCATCCCAAGGCCGCTTTCGGCTCCTGGCCAGGCTGCAAGGCCAAGCCCAAGCCAGACTCTAACAGCGCAGACCTTGCAGCAGTTGCAGTCTTCTTTGCAGCAGCCAAGGCGCCGATCAATGAGATACACATCAAACAACGGGGACAACTATCACGTAGAAGTTCAACAATTGCCGGGATCAAGTTTGATGATCTCCATAAACAGTGCTTCTTCTGGTAGATCGTCTGCCAGACAGCAGGTCTCTGACTCTTTCTCCTCGGATCCATGCCTTTTTGGGCCGCGCTTCTTCTGAAGGAAAGTCACGTCAAGTTGCGCAGTCATGCAGGTCAGGCGACGATTTTCACGAGAAATTGATAATGTGCATTGGCGAGCGAATCCGTTCAGGGTGGGAGAAGGGGGAGGACCACAGGCGGGTGGATCCCTCGGTCAGCACTGTTTTTCTCGGTGGCGGACTTCCTGCCAGCCGTCCTGTTTGCCGCTGAAAAAGCCTGCTCTGCTGGCATCTCGCCCCACATGCTGTACTGCCACAACATGCCAGCGAAGACACCCTGCATGAACCCTGCGTAAACTGAACTGAGCTTCTGGATTGAGCTCGCAACCCATCTAGAGCCCAGCAACTACACCCGAGCAAACCCTGACAGAACCCTGCAACCCTGAACCGTAAACCCGGACGCTAAAGCAATCGGGCTCGTGTCCAGGCATTCAGCGCCCTCTGCAGTGCCTGGCCGAGAATGGATCCTGGTGCCAAGCCGCGGCGCTTCTGGAGGCTCCATGGCTGCGTCGTTGGTTCATAACAGGATTTCAGGGTTTCTTTGCGCTGAGTCTATGAGGCTTTACCTATCGTTGTATAGTGCTCTGGAGTTTGAGATAGGGTTAATAAATTGTGAGGTACCATGCAAGGAACACCTTGAGTTAGAGTCGCGCAGGCTTAGGCTGCAAAGAAATCCTTCAACACTAAGCCCTAAACCGTCTCGATGTCCGCGGTTTTCGCTGCGCTTGCTTTCCTGGACGACACAAGGGCATAGCAGATATCTTTAATCCGTCCAGTCGCTTACATGATGCAAGTCATATATCTCTGATTGCTGTTGGTCATGTGTAAACCCATCTTTACCACTACTACTACTACTACTACTACTACTACTACTACGACTAGTACTACTACTACTATACTACTACTACTACTACTACTACTACTACTACTACTACTACTACTACTACTACGACTGCTACTACTACTACTACTACTACTACTACTACTACTACGACTACTACTACTACTACTACTACTACTACTACTACTACTACTACTACTACTACTACTACTACCACTACTGCCGGTGCGCCGCGGCTCCGCGGAGCCTAAAGCTCGGCTGACTCGGCGGCCGGTACCTTTGGCAGTGCGGCAGCTTGGAGATTTCAATCCCGGACCCACGCCACCGCCGTGACAGCTTTGGACCCCACCCCGAGGAGCCAATTAATTAATTATGTGTTTATTTTTTTGGCGGCGGGCTGGAGCTTGTCATTCTTGTCATTCCTGTCATTTCGGAAAGCTGGTCGGTAAGGTCCAGAAACGAACAAGATTCGCGGCTTTTGCAGCCTTGCCGAAGAGCTTCTCGAAATGACAGGAATGACAAGAATGACAGGCTCCAGCTCGCCCGGAAAATAAATAATTAAATAATTAATTCCACCGGAAGTGGAAAACTTCGAAGTGAATCACAAATGTCGATCTTCCAGGCATCGAAGCCATAATTAATTATTTATTTATTTATTTTTTTTCGGCCCGGCTGGAGCTTGTCATTCTTGTCATTCCTGTCATTTGGAGAAGCTCGTCGGTAAGGTCCAGAAACGAAGAAGATTCGCGGCTTTTTTGGCCTTGCCGACAAGCTTCTCCAAATGACAGGAATGACAAGAATGACAAGCTCCAGCCCGCCGCCACAAAAAAAAAATAATTATGGCCTCTATCCCTGGGAAGTCGCAGGGTACTCATGAGTGCTCGCTCAACACTCGCTCAACACTCGCACGACACTCGCAAGGCACTCACAGGGCAGCCTAGTAGGGATTAAGGGTCCTAGGGGTTCGGGTGCCCGGGGTTCGGGAGTTAGGGACAACCGGGAGGCAGCTTGCGAGACGCGAGCCTGGAAGTTCTCGGAGGGCAGGGATTGCTCACAGTCACTCGCGCAACACTCGCAGGGCACTCGCACAACACTCACAGGGCACTCACAGGGCACTCGCAAGGCACTCACAGGGCAGCCTAGTAGGGATTAGGGTTCTAGGGGTTCGGGTGCCGAGTTAGGGACAACCCGGGGAGCTTGCGAAGCGCGAGCCTGGAAGTTCTCGGAAGGACCGCAAAAAAAACTCGCAGGGCACTCGCAGGGCACTCGCAGGGCACTCACAGGGCTCGCAGGGCACTCGCAGGGAGCCTGGAAGTTCTCGGAAGGACCTGGGCGCGCAGAAAGTATAGGCACTCGCACAACACTCGCACAGGGCACTCACTCGCCGGGCACTTGGGACTGCTTCGTTTTTTTGGGCAGCCCTGAGGAGCATTGTCGGCCATACGGCATCTGTGCACATGCCTTGCAAGCCTCCCAAGCGGAGGGAGCGCGGCCACTAGCTGAAAACTCTGCGACCTCCATGCGACATCGAGCCTTCAGGCCTCTCAAGCGCCGCTAACGGACCCATGCACTTCAGAAACTTTAAAGAAGATCTAGGCCGCCTCGTAGCCCGAAAATCGGTAGGGCTCCGGCGGCGGAGCGATCACCATCCTCAGAACCTGCCTGCCATCTGGGCCCGGAACCAGCCGCTTGTAGACCCGTTTGGTCGCATCGCGGGGCTTGAAGCCGGCATTGGTCAGGTTCGGCATCAGCTGCCCCTCCTCCTCGGAACCCTGCAGGGCGCTCCTGCCGCTCTCGTGGACCTCGGCGATGGTCGAGGCCTCATTGATGTCATCCGTGTAGGTGACCTTCGCGAGCCAGCGGAGCCAGCGGGATTCCTCGGGCGCCACGTAGAAGCACATCTCCGAGACCTGCTTGATCCTCTCGGGGCGGGGTGCCACGTTCCTCGTGTGCTCCACCAGGTCCAGCAGGTGGTAGAACTCAGAGAGCCAGAAGAAGGCGCAGGCCGTGAGCTTGCCCTCTCGCACATCGTCGGCCAGCCGGGAGTCGCTCTGCTGATGGGTAGCCAGGTGCACGTTCTCCGTGAAGATGCTGGAGGCGGCGATGACATTCACTCTGGTGGAACTGCCGGTGTCCTGGCGCTCGTCGTGGGCGAGGCGGGGCTGAAAGTTCGAGGTCAGCACGATCAAAGCCGTAGGAGTAAAGGACTCGTTGCCGCCGCGGTAGAGGATTGGGGAAGCGATCTCAGCACCGCGCTGTTCGCAGAGAGGCTTGAGGAGGGCCATGGAGATGCGCCGGTTGGGGACTTCCGAAATGAAGACGAACCTTGCCCCGTCGGTGGCCGAGAGGAAGGGGTTCATCCCCCTTCACATCGCCGCAGCACTCGAAGACACTATCCCGGAAAACGCGAAGGGGTGCCAGGATGGACCTTGTCGACCATCGACGAGCAGCAGGCGACCCGTCGCTGGCAGCTCCGGACATGGTGCGCGGCGCCTGCGGCTACTGCACGCACGACTGTCGCCTAATGCTACTGTGCCACTTATGCTGCTGTGCCGCCTGCTGTGCCGCCTGCTGTGCTGCTAATGTGTTATGTGTGCCGCCTGCTGTGCTGCTAATGTGTTATGTGTGCCGCCTCCACGCTGCTTGCATGTGCATGTTCCCTAGAGAATTCTGCGCCTGCCGATGCTAGCTATCTTCGAGGAGCGAGCGCGGCGCCCGAAGCTCAATGCAGAGACGCTTGGGCGGGGAGCCTACGGGTTAGGGACGCAGGGCACTTGCAAGGCAGACGGGGAGCAAAGCCTACTGCGGGGCCGAAGGGGTTAGGGTGCCCTGAACTCCCTGAACCAAACCAAAAAAAAAGCAACCCCGGCGAAAGCACTCTAGCAAAATGTTTTACTGCAAAAGTCGGCGGGCCTAGCTAGAATACCGCTAGAAATCAAAAAAAAAGCATCAGTGAGCAAAGGCGAACAGCACCTGGTGAAGCTGCATCCTAAACCCCCACGGATCAGGTCGACGGCGGCCACAGGCTCGCCGCGAATCGACACTGAGCGCACCCAGCCACGAAAACTTGAGCCAAACCTAGGGGACGTATCCACCGAAATCGCGCTCTCGCCACAATCTGGGGTGAAACAGCCCGGGGCCTTGCGCGGCCCTTCTCGGGGCTGGCTGTGCCGCTTTTGGCCGGCGGGCCCGGCAGGGTGTGTGAAACATAGGCAGGGCGCACCTGGGAAATCAGACGCAGAGCCGCTGCGTGATGCCTGGCGATTCCGGGTGGCTGTGTTCGACCCATCCTAAACCCTCCCCGACAACGTTCCGGGGCTGGCCGGCACCGATTCGACAGGAAAGGGTCGATCCGGCCGACATCGTGCTCAAACCCTAGGCAAGGGACACTCCGAAATCGTGCTCTCGCCGGTGCGTGGTCGGCTCGCAAAACGGCCGGCTGCCGGGGGCCGTCGTGTTTTAGGGCCATGCGTGTTTGGAGTGATAAATGCTGTCAATGTAAAAAATGGATTTGGCGTGCCGGAACGCCACGGAGGAGCCGACCGAAGCCAATCTCGTGCGGCTGCTGGATCTGTGGTCGGCGGACTGGAAGCACCGGGGCCGCACCCGGGCGGTGGGGCCGGGAGCGTACGAGAGATACGCCACGCTGGGGCTATTCGGGCACGGCGGGGTGGTCGGAGTCTCCAATGCCACGGGCCTGCGGAAGGCCTGTGCCGCTGTGAATTGCTTTCTCAAGAGCCGCTTTCCGAACGGCACTTGGACCTCCATCGCCGTGCTCTTCAATCCGCGCATGGGGCTGCACCGCGACATTCAGAACATGCCAGGGCACTTGAATCATGCGCTTGCTCTGGGAGACTACACAGGAGGACGAGTGTGGATCGAAGATGACGAGGGGGACTCCACGGCCTGGCTGGCCGACAAGAAAGGGGAGCGAGAGCTGCGCGGGCGGTGGCTGGACATGCACGACAAGCCGGTAAGCTTCGATGCTCGCCGCTATCACATGGTGGAACCGCACGAGGGCAGCATGTGGGCACTCGCTGCTTATGTTCCGCAAGCCTATGCTCGGGCGACGGAGCAGCACCGGCAAGCGCTGAGAGAAGCGGGCTT